CTCGATGCTCGGGGTGGCATCCTACAGTATCGGTGGGCACCTGGTAAGTGAAAAAAGCAATTATTGGCTCGGTAAGTGGCAAGACTCATCCCGGTTGCCAAGTTTTAGTCGTTCCTTGTTTGGATATTGGCATGAATCATCATGACAGTACCCGGTAAGACCATTTACCCCGTTACTGACTAGTTTCTCAACATGAATGGTCTTAGAAGCGTCCGATGGGTCCGATAAGCTAGTTTTGACGTAGTTAAGTGGCAGGAATCTCCCGATTGGTGTTTTAAGCTCGTTCTGACCCCGGTAAAGTTAAGAACTCATCCATGTAAGGTCTTGGTTCATCGTAGGAGTAGGACGGCCGAGTGGCCAAGAACCAAGATGGTTGGAAACGTGAAGTGAAACTCGGTCGAGGAAGAAAGAACCTCTGTAAGGTTGGCCATGATCGAACTTAGATCATGGTGCCACACGGTTGAAAAAAGTACGATCGTGACACCGGACACCCACCGAAAAACATAAGGGGGGAAATGTTAGATGTGCAGTTTGAGTGACATACGTGGCCAACAATAAACCATCTAGTCTAGTAGCAAATAAATGGATTAAATACTTATAAAAAAGAAGGAAAAAATAAAGGATTAAATAGAAATAATAAAAACCTCGTCCGTCCGCGCCATCTTCATTTTTCAACGCAACACTTTGTAAGGTGAGACGAGGCTCAGTTTACAGCCTCAATTGCCAAATCCTTCTATCTCTCTCTCTAAGCAGAGAGAATCGAGAGCCGGCCGGAGCAGCCATGGAAATGGTGATGAGCTTCCACGCCTCCTCTTCCCCATTGCTTTACAACCCCAAATTCAAGGTCGGAAGAGCATTCACTCCTCTAAGTAAGCAGTTCGATGGTTTGAGTTCATCCTCCAGGACCTCAACTTCAATACCCAAGCAAGCTCTCAAGGTTTGTTCCAGAACTCCACTTCGAACTCCGGTCAAATGCTCTGCCTCTCAAGCTACGGAAGCCCGCACCGGTATCTCTCTCGTCATCATTCGCTTTCTTTGTTCATTCATCGGTGTGAAAAAGTTGGTTGATGAGAATAGAAGAAAATTACTAGTTAATTGTCGACCTCTGTGTTTGTTATGCTGCGGTTTGTATTTGGACATTCAGAGTCGTAAAGACTGGGAGTTGGGGAATTTTGTATCGGAAATTCATATATAAAAACGTGAAACTCTGTTTCGGGAAGTTTTTAATCTTGTCGTGATATTTTTTTTTCCCATTTTCTGTTCTGCGTTAGTGTTGAGAAGATCGATATGCTGATTTTTAGTTGTTATTTTCGATTATATCCTGAATGTTTTGCCAAATTTGCCAAATTTCTTTGTTTACTGTGGAATAAGAAAGATGCGGTATTTGTTCAACTTATAGTCTGGGTTTTCCCATGAAATGTTTTCATGCTTCCAAAATGCCTTCTCATATCGGTCAAATTACCAGTAATTATCCACGGCTAATACGACTGCCAATTCTCCTCGTTATCAGCCGTTTGCATAAAATTTAGACCTAATATCGGTCTTCCACCCTACCCAAAATTCATTACTAACATTTGTCCATTTTTGGGCTGGTGTTTTGCCTTAGCGAAGAGCCAACTGATGAGGAGACAAGATATAAGGAACATAGCAATAGTGGCTCACGTAGACCATGGAAAGACAACTTTGGTTGATGCCATGTTGAAGCAAGCGAAGGTAATACCCAGATAATAATTTCTAATGTTCATTTTTTTAGTGGTGGTGTGGCATTATTTTGAAAGCTTGAAAGAATGATAATTACTCATTCTGTGATGTTATGACCATGGTTTCCAGATCATTAATACTGTTTAGTGCAACGTAATGCGATGCAACAAGCAGCCTGACTATGTCGTACCTGCTGGGTTATACCCACCTATTTATTTGTCAATATCAATCATCTGATGTATTAGAGGCTCAGAGCTAGAAATGATGACACTTAACAGAGAAGATTAGAAATTGTTCTATAAAGTTTGTGAAAATGATCTATTTTCTAATGTAGGTTGTGATTTCCTATTTTGACTATGGTACATGAGAATGAATTAGAGTTAGAGACGATGAAAGGAACGCAGTAAAAGTTGCTGCTTAGGATTGTGATATTGCTTTTGGTGGGTCTATAATTTCTTTGTTAAAAACAACACGAGAATGTGCAAGAATGGTTGACAAGAATAACCTCCAACCTAAAGTGTATTTCATATTTTAAATTGTAGGTATTTCGTGACAATCAAGTTGTCAAAGAAAGAATTATGGACTCAAATGACCTGGAGCGTGAAAGAGGAATTACAATACTGAGCAAAAATACATCTATTACATACAAGGATACAAAGATTAATATTATTGATACTCCAGGGCACTCTGATTTTGGTGGTGAAGTTGAACGTATTCTCAATATGGTGGAAGGGATCCTTCTAGTGGTATTCTTCATCATATTCTATCTATTTGAAGTCTCTGTTCTATCTTGAAATTTATATTTTTGAGAATTGATTTTTTTCCCTTTTTTCTGGTATGATGTAGCTGTCATAAATTTAGTGAGCATAAAACTCTTTAATTAACGTATTTTCCCTTGTGGCCATTGGGTAAAATAATACATGAGACAAATATCATTTTTGTTATTCAGGTCGATAAATAGTTCTATTTGGTTGTTATGCTTCAAACACTGACATTTTAACCCTGGAAGTTACTAATAGAAATTGAGTGCAGAGTTTTATTAATTTTAATATATTTTTTTATATTGATGTGTTAATTCTTGAAGTGTGGATCTCTAGTCACTTTTTGCTGACCTACAAAACAAAAGAAGTCACCTGAGAGGCCCATATCATGCTAGTTTTGTCTACTAAAGAAACTTTTATGGTGTCAAGTTAGTGGAGAGTTGAAGGTTAGGCAGAGTGATTATAAGTGAGTTAAGATAGTAAGGTGGCATGCAATTGGTTTTCGGGAGATAGATGGAGGGAGTAGGTTGAGATGGGGGAGGGAATGAGAGAAACAATTGTTAACATGTTCAACTAATTTATAATTTGTAAAATTGTGTCCTAATCAAAACTAACCACTGCAGATTTGATAATTTGATTGAATTTCATCATAAAAAATATTATGAGATTCATTACAATTCTCTCCTATCAGCCTTCTGTTATTGGAACTAACAAAATATTGATGGCAGTGAGCACATCGAACTACTTTCGATCTTTGAAGGATTAAAATGTCACTTTTTAAAACTTAGGGGCTAATGTAACTATTTATCACACTTGAAATAGTAGAAGGTAAAATATCTCTTATATATTTTATGAAGGGGTATATTTTATGGAAATAGTTTATGACTGTCTGTTACAAGGCTTTTGCCTTTTTAGGTGAACATCTTACTCTTGGCTTGGGTGACTTCCCATGGATACCTCATACATGTTTTTATTTTTATTTTTTTAAAATTTTTAACTTTCATTATTTGCTTAACCATCATAGGTTGGATAATTGGTCCAAAGGGACCAAAGTAAATTAAAGGATTTAGAGGGAATAGGTTCAAACCCCATGATGACCACCTACTTACCTAGGAATTAATTTTCCATGTGTTTCCTCGGCAACCAAATGTAGTGGGGTAAGAAAGTTTAAGAAACAAGTTATCTCATGGTCTTCTAAGGGACTGGAAAACAAACTTGATTTACTTTTAAATGGACAAGGCTAAGCTGATACACCAGAGCAAATTATTATAGTAATAAGACCCAATTGAGATTTTCTCCTCTGCAGGACCAGTTTTAAACTTTTTTTCCTCTTGCCATTGACTTTATGTGTTTTCCTGACAATAATATATTTTCAAATATATTTCTAACTTTAATTTTCTTGTGCTATTGTCCTCTTTTTCTATGTATATCTAGGTAGATTCTGTTGAGGGTCCAATGCCACAAACAAGATTTGTGCTTAAGAAGGCTCTAGAATTTGGGCATGCTGTTGTAGTCGTGGTCAACAAGATTGACAGACCTTCTGCCCGTCCAGATTATGTCATCAATTCTACTTTTGAGCTCTTTATTGAATTGAATGCATCAGATGAGCAGGTATAGTTACAATATTTGACAATCATGGACAATGGCCTTTTACCCATGCTTTATGATAAGAGTCAACAATATATTAATAATAGAAAATGATGTATAATAAGAGCAATGGACAATGTGGCAGAAAAGAGAACGTTACAAAAGACAACGAAATCCAATCTTTTGAAATTAATAATAAAGGGAAGTTCTCAAAATCTTTAGAGAAGGAGACTTTTAGAGGTGTTAGAAAGTGAACTCTCGGCCAAATAATATCCAAATATTCCCTACTCTCTTAAAGCATTTTGCTGTTCTTCCCTTCCAATTCCAATTGCACCAACTAATAGCAGAAAACATGGAAGAATAAAACCTCATGAATAGGACTCCTAGAGTTTCTGAACCGAAAATGATCGACAAGAATGGTTCAAACCAACTGAACCAACTTGGTTTGGCTGGTTTCCTCAGACTTTAGATTTTTTTCGGTTTTGGCTTCCACCCCCTAGTCTCCACAGCCATTTGAAATCAATGCCATATTCCTCTTGACAAGATTCCCATTTCCATTCCACCTTTGAAAAGAGGCAAAGAAACAGTTTTCTATCAAATCAAATGCAACCATCCACCCTCATGAACCTCCTTCTGACGAAAATCCTTTATCATCTTCTTGATTCTGTTAAAATATTGGTAAGAATTTTAAACAAAGCGTGATAGTCAGTGTGTAAGCTGTTCRCCCAAATTTAAGATAGAGTTAAAGGGTACTTGATTTATAACAATGTTTTATGTCCGTATACAAACTTTATTTATATTATAGCAGCAGCGGGGTTATTGAAAATTATCAATGTAAGTCACTCTAAGTGATTCAAACAGTGGTGGGAAATTGCGGACAATCTGAAAAATATATTGAGCGTTGTTGAATGTTTCATATCATTATTTCTGGTAATATAAGCAACATCTTACATCACTACAACTTTTGTTTTGGTTCAGTGTGATTTTCAAGCAATTTATGCTAGTGGCATTCAAGGTAAGGCTGGTTTATCCCCTGAAAAATTGGCAGAAGATCTTGGACCACTTTTTGAGTCTATAATCAGATGCATCCCTGGACCACGTATTGACAAAGATGGTGCATTGCAAATGCTTGTAGGTGATTTTTTATTTTTATTTTTAATTGTTTTTGTTTATCTTCAATAATATAATTGATTTAAACYGATGAAGAACCTACATGCCTTACATTGTTCTTATGGATAATAAAAAAACTTTTCAATGTTAGTTTCACTGAACGATAGTATTCTTAAACCAAAAAACATATAATTTCATTTTCTGAATTTTCAATTTATTAACTGTAAGAAAACTGTACTATCTTGTTTGCTTTTGAAGCATTTTACTTTTATTTATTTGTCATATTGGCCATAAAAGAGCTTTATTTTACTTGCACTCTACTTATTCTCTTAAAATATTCTCAATTCCAAGGTAAACTTTTTCTCCTAGGCTACAAATATTGAATACGATGAGCACAAAGGAAGGATAGCCATTGGTCGACTGCATGCTGGAGAATTGCAAAAAGGAATGGATGTGAAGGTTAGTTCACTTTGCAGGTTGAACTAGGCTTACCAGCATCCGGCATTTTTTTAGGGTAGTTTTGCGATTTCATAGTAGACGTTTCTGTAGAAACCTGTTATTTGCAATTATTTGGAATATATGGTTGAAAAGGAATAGAAGAATCTTGAAGGATGTGGAGGTCATTAGGGAGGAGATATGGAGTTTGTATGATTTTTACACTACTTGGGCTTCCACCATTTTTTTGCCATTATTTGTTAAAGTAATTTTGTTAATGACTTGCATGACTCCAATTTAGGGCTCTGTTGGAATATTTGGCTTGAGTAGAAGAATTTTAGAATCTTCTAAGATTGATTCAAAGACTGGTTCACTGGAACAATTTTTGGTTTCTTTCTGGTGTTCTTTTGATAGGAAAGTAAAAAGTTTTATTTACTCTACCTATTTTGATAACAAGTGGGGAGCCTTTTTGTAAATCCCATAAGCTTTCAGGCCAAGGGGTTGCTTTATCTCCCTTCCATTTCCCTGTTTTTGTATATTTGATATCTTCAATAGAAGCTTTGTTTCCCTAAAATTAGACATTTTTGGCTATCCGTTGGGATTAAAGGAGCAAAAGGTTTTCCAAGAGTTGTGGAAGTCATTTTTTGTCTTTGATTTTTAGGTATGCACAACAGAAGATTCTTGTAGATATGCAAGAATTAGTGAGCTTTTTGTATATGAAAAATTCAGTAGGGTTCCTGTGGACAAGGTGCAAGCTGGTGATATATGTGCGGTTTGTGGAGTAGATGATATTCAGGTAGTAGTTACTTCAGTTTTTGCAGAACTATTGTTCTTGTAGTGATGTTATACACAAGAAAATATGTCATTGTTGTTTTCACATTCTTTATCGTGGATAATTCTGTGTTCAGATTGGTGAGACAATTGCTGACAAACAATATGGCAAACCATTACCCGCTATTAAGGTGGAAGAACCAACAGTAAAGATGGCTTTCGCAATTAACACTTCTCCGTTTGTTGGCCGTGAGGTATGTCTGAATGACAGTACCAGAAGTGCTGAATTTTCTTTCCTTTTAACAAATATTGTATYGTTTTTGTTAAGAAACTTATATGAAATTACAATAGGAAGGGGAAGGAAAAGCAAAGCCCCACACCAAGGTGGTGCCTTGGAGTCGGAAAAACTAAAGAGAAAAACAAGGCTCTTCTTATGATAGTTATGGAGATTATATAAATTGTCATGGACCTTATTTTTTATGTAACCTCCTTTTATGGGTTGAGAGAAGAAGCTTTTAGTTCATCTTAGATCAAAAAAATTATATATAGAAGTTAAGATTTTTAGATTTTATCTCTAATTTGTCCCCAAAATTTTTAAATGAAAAGTTGTATATATTCATGAAATGTTAAAATGTAAAACTTTTCCCCTTCGTATAATTTTTTTTGGCTCCACTCCTATCTGATAGTATATTGGCTAGCTTGGATGGATATATTATCTACTCTTTTTATGTTCCTTTTCTTTTTTTCACGATAGAGCAAGATTCTCGTTTTTTACCTTAAAAAAAATCTTTAGCGTACATGCTGCACATAGGCCACCAGTTGAAAAATAAACAAGTAACATGTATGTCTAAATTACAACTCGATACAAAAAAATCTAAGGTATAATATGTGTTGCTGATTTAAATTGCAGGGCAAGTACGTCACTAGTAGAAACTTAAGGGATCGGCTCTACCGTGAGCTTGAGCGTAATTTAGCAATGAAAGTTGAAGATGGCGAAACAGCAGATACATTTATTGTTAGTGGTCGGGGTACTTTGCATATAACAATACTTATAGAGAACATGTAAGGATTTAATATTTAGGATGGTCTTCCACCCTATCCTGTATGCATCCTCTAATGAGTTCATTCATTTCAGGCGGAGGGAAGGATATGAATTTATGGTGGGACCTCCTAGAGTTATCACCAAAAAGGTGAATGACCAATTGGTGGAACCATATGAGGTGAGTTTATAATTGAAATATGATGTAGGACACTGCTAGAAAATTTTATTGGGATTAATTTACAGCTAAAATTTTAAGTTCTAGATTTTACTGGATTTCAAATTCATAATATATTTGGATAAATATTTTTAGAAGTTATTATTATTATTTATTTTTTGTTTTCCTTGGGTATTTTCACTTCTCAAATATAACACGCTCTTTAGACTACATAGACTTATATTTTGAGATTTAAAAGAGTATCAATAACTTTAACCTTTACATATTATACAGTCAAAGTTATTATAGAAACAGTTCTTTTTCTTTTTTTTTTCCCTAATAAACATTTTCTATCTGAAAACAGTTTCCAGGACAAGCATTAAGCCACTATTTGCGACAAAAAGAATAGGAAAAAGAATAACGACCTTACTTGAACATGATCTTTTCTATAGGTTGTAAAACTATGTCTTGAGTTCTAAAAAGAAATAGAAAAAGAACAGTACACATAAAAAGTAGAAGGAAAAATTGTAGAATCTACTACAACACCTTAAGAATCCTTCTAGGGTTTTTGACTGGAAACCACAAAGTCTTTAAGTAATAAGTATTGCTCCAAATATGACTAATTGCATTTCACTATTCTAAATAAAACGAAGTTAAAATAGCCGTTTTAAGGACAAATCAAATTTAGCTCATGTAGAACCTTCTAGACTTATAGGACTTAAAAATCCAATTAGGATTAGGATTTCATGATACTAAGGACTTCGAATATATCTATGATTGTAATTAATCTACGAAGTCTAATAGTTTATTGAATCAGAAAACTGAAATCCGATAAAAACATACACATATGTATGTATGTATAATACAATCAAAACTTATCTTTGGCTCCTTATTGTAATCCTGCGTTAACCACATATGACTTGATGTTAGAAAAAAATGCCCATTATGAAATTAGTTAAGAGTGAAGCTAAAATTAGATTATCTAAGCGCTTAATTTTGTCTTAATGTAATTTCCATACAAAACTTTGTTTTTCATCAAGTCTTCTTAGGTGTAACTTGTAAGTGCTTCATCTTTTAAACGGTATAGCTCATTGTGTAACATTTGATTGACTTCTTATAAGGTGGCATTCATAATAAAATTGCCATGCAGATTGCCACTGTGGAAGTGCCAGAAGAACACATGGGAGCAGTAGTTGAACTGTTGGGCAAGAGGCGTGGACAGATGTTTGATATGCAGGGCGTTGGGTTTGTACACCTCTCTTTGCTTTTCTATTCCCCCACACAAAAAGTTTGGCCTGATGGATGAGATGTGATAATATTTTAAATCGTATATAATACGCGTTTGATGATTGGAGAACTATGGGCCTTGACTAATGTAATGCTCAAATTAGATCACATAATGACAATTTACGAGACTTTCATGTACTATCGTCAGCATATTTAATGTTGACCTATAGTGATGGATGCTTTACGTCCACTTGCCATAGTTAAACAACTCATTTCTTTGCTAAAACTCTTTCTAGGAGATGCTTGTATCACTAATTTAATAGAGGACGATGGTGTGTTGTTACAGTGATTACTAAACCATGTGCATATTTTAAATTAGGCACGGTCATAAATGGATTTTAGTATTTTACTTTTGTTTAAAAAAAAAAGAAAAAAAGAAAAGTATTTTACTTTTGTTACTTATATCAATTCTTCTAATTATTATCAATATCTATCTCCAGGTCAGAAGGGACAACTTTTTTGAGATATAAGATTCCAACTCGGGGTCTTCTTGGATTGAGAAATGCAATTTTGACAGCTTCACGTGGCACAGCAATTCTCAACACAATATTTGATTGCTATGGACCTTGGGCTGGTGACATTCACACTCGTGATCAGGGTTCACTGGTAAGTTGGTAACTCATTTGCTTTTATTGCTCGACATAGGGAAGCTTTACTTGTTGCCTTCAATCATTGTGGGTTCCTTTAATAATGGTTTTCTGTTATGTTCTGTTATTGTTCTTGTATGGTTCTGGTGGTAGGATGTTTGAGGGTGGGTTTTCTTGTAGCCTCTCTTATTCTTTCCCGGTCTTTCTTGCACTCAAATCTTTCTAATGGAAAAGTTTTTTTTTTTTTCTCTTGCTTCTTAAATAGAAAATTGCTTTTAAGTGTTGTACTGGATTCAAGAATTATGGCTGTAAGACCTTGTGACTTAGTTGCGTCAATGGTTCAGACATCATGGAAGTTGTCTCACTTTTCCCCCTATGTACTCGATTGGGTCTTTTAATATAGGTTTAAATTCTATTTTGGTCATAAAATTTCATACTTCGTTTCATTTTTGCCCCTAAGTTTTACCCCTCAACTTTTGAATATTCCAATAATCAACAATTTTAGTCTTTACAATTAATGTTTCATTAATCATTTTAACAAGAACTTTAAATACATTAGGAAATCTAAAACCTAAACAGGCTTCAATGCACTTGCCTATGTAGATATCTATTAATCAGGTAGATGAATAAAATTTTTTTGGTGGGGTTTCCTCTACCCCAGCCTCTAGTTTGTTCTTTCTTTTTTGACCAATACAGAGATGTTTCTTATCTAAAAAAATAAAAAAATTCATGTCTAGACTAAAGATGATTTTTTATGCAAAACTCTGCAACAAAACAAAATTTTTGAAAGTTTAGGAACTAAAGTAGAATAAACATGAAAGTGTAGGGATGGAGTTAGAGATAATATATTGAACCTGATTTATTTATGATCTCTAACTCTTGCAATTGCTATGCTATCAATCAACCATATATGTTATTATCTTTTGAATTCATGATTAGGATATCTAATTAAAATTGCACGTGTCATTCTTCGACTCTCCATAAAAATAATTAACTCCTGATGAAGCTGCACGACTGATTTTCAGGTAGCTTTTGAGGAAGGCACTACAACTTCTTATGCCCTTTGTAGTTCACAGGAGAGAGGGCAGATGTTTGTCAGTCCTGGTGTAGATGTTTACAAAGGTCAAATAGTTGGAATTCATCAACGGCCTGGGGACTTATCCCTTAATGTGTGCAAGAAAAAAGCTGCAACAAACGTACGCTCCAACAAAGAACAAACGGGTGAGAACTGGGTCAGCTCAATTACTTTTTCAATCTTCAGGTTGGAGTTTTATCTCTGGTTTCTGCATTAGTTTCTCTACTCAAAATATATCTTGGACTTAGAATGCTCCTCACATGCCACTATTAGAAATCCGTCTCCTAGGTTGAGTTTGGTACAACTAATGGAATTTTTCTTAGCTGATCAGAAACACACGTTGGTTCGATTACATTGGGAAGAATAATTAATTATTTTTTTTTTTAAAGAAAGGTTGCATTTAATGCTTCTCCTAAAAGTGTTTAGGAATAAGCAACAGTTAGAAATATAATTGATAAGCTTACACTTCATAATTTTGCCTTATGCAGTGGTTCTTGATACACCATTGGACTATAGTTTAGACGACTGTATCGAGTACATCCAAGAGGATGAACTAGTGGAAGTCACCCCTTCAAGCATCCGAATGTGCAAAAATGCAAAAATGGCCAAGAAAACGAGGTAGATATTTCATATTCGTTACAGAGATCTTCAACTAGCAAAAGTCGCAGGTACAACGCCATATTTCCTTGAATTCATAAGATTTCTTAGAGCTTCTAGTCAATAATAAATTATTTAAGCATCAAAGCTACCATCTACAATAGTTCGTATTATTTGTACATAAGAGAAGAAGACATTAAAGTTGTATCCCGTCCAAAATGGTGATTGATTGGTAGAAACTAGAAAGTGAACCATACTAGGCTCCTTTTTCCCTTATATTTGATGTAATTTTGACCTATGCCATTGCTTCTCTTTATTACTTTTGAATTTTGATAGGCTGTTGCTTGGAGCCTTCTTTGGCTCCAATCCTATCAAATCAGTCTATTATCTTATGGATGTTCATTGCACGCATTGTTTTCTTGTTCTTTTTTTCTCACTTTATAACAAAATGGCTATTAAATAAACTTGTGAAAGTATTGACCGTAGATTACTTCTCATGGTTTGTGCTCTGTTTCAATTTAGTTTAGGTTTGTTTAGATATAAAATATTTTGGTCTTTGTTTTTTCGGCTTTGGTTTGTTTTGGTTCTTGTACTTTCAAAATGTCAATTTTGGTCCTCGTACTTTCAACTTTTGTTCGTTTTAGTTTCTATACTTTTGAAATGTTTATTTTGATCCTCTAGTTCTTTTATCTGATTTTTTTTTTCTGAAAAAAGTTAATCCGAAATTTAGTAGGGCAAATTAGAGAGATTTTTTTAAAAATTTTTTATATAGTGTTTTTTACCCTAAGATTAATGATTTGGTGGGGAGGGGAATGAGTTGAAAACTAAAGAAAATATCTTTTTTAATACAACATGTAGAGGTGAGAATTTGAACCTATGATTTTTTAGTCGGAATATATGCCTTAGTCAGTTTATCTATACTAAGATTGACTCAAATTGACTCGAAGAGAATATATTGTTGAGGAAAAGTATCAATATTATTAGCCAATCTTAGATGTTTTAAGACATTTGTGTTTCAAAGTTCAAAGGGGCTTGGGTTATAGAGAACTTGAGTCTCTTAACCAAGCTCCCCCGGCTAAACAAGGGTGGAGAATTATTTTCAAGCCTAACTCATTCCTCGACCTCTTCCTTTTATGTGGCTGTGGCTCTTCCTAAAGATATGTTTGATCTTTTTCTAGTCATGTGCGGGTGTGTGTGGTGTAGACGAGATTTCGTGAAACTTGTGATGGTTTTAGTTCGGAGGAAGACCAGTGGGATTGGGTTATTGAAGCTTAATACAGATGTTGCCATCAGACCACTTGAAAATCGAACGGGCATTGGAGATATTATAAGAAACTCGAGGGGAGAAATTATGCTTACCTTCTCGAAACAGGTTCGTTCGTACTTGTGAATTGGCAAGGCATCTGTGATCTTCATCTTTTTGGTGTGTGGATTGAGGATCTCCCTCCTCCCTTGATGGCGTTGTGGCTGAAAATTTAACTAAATCATAAATATTTAATTGAAAGTTTACGGTCACTAAAATCCTTCTTTTAAAAATAATGTTTATCTTTACAACATAAATGGAGTGGAGATTTGAAGTTCCAACATGGAAGAAAGAAATAGATGGAGGTAGATTCATGTTAGTGCAAACAAAAGAAAAAGCGTTTAAATAGTTATGTTTTAATTAAATTTCATAAACTAAACTAGGTATTTTAAAAGTTTAAGATTGATTGAACTTTAACATTTTGGAATTATAATATATATTTTGAAAGTCCAACCATTAAGATTTAAAAAAAATATATATAAAAATGGGGGAGAAAAATGAATAATTATTTTAATTTATGAATTAATCACAATTGGCCTAACTTCTATTGTTAATAAAAGCCAATTCTGCCAGTGTTCCATGGTGTCTAAACACCTTTTTCTTTTTCTCTCTTTTATTTTAGTGAAATAGATTCTTCTAGTTGGGGACTTACTCGATAGTCTTTTTCGGAATTATTAGCTACATCAATCATGTCACAAATTACAGAGTATTAATCATCACTAATTATATCATATATGCTATATCGTTTTGTAGTACAACACATAGAGGTAGGGGATCAAACTCACAACCTCTTAATTGGAGATATATGTCAATTACTACTGAGCTATGCTCGTTTTGACCATATATGCAATATCGTTGATAGTCTATATAATAGAGGGAGTGAGGATTTAAACTTGAGGTATCTTAACTGGTTGAATCTTTTGCATGATGTTATTTTTTTAAGTACATCAAATGTGGGGATGAGGGATCGATCTTCCGACTTCAACCGAATAATTAAGGTGCCTTAACCATTGAACTATGTTCATGTTGGCGCATGATGCTATTCTTTTTTTGGAATATATGTATATGAATGAAGGTATGTTTTTCATGTTACATATCATGTTTTATTTAATAAGAGTCTTATTAAAGTATTGATAAATGATTAAATTTATCATAACTCATTTAATTTAAATTTTTTATTTCAACTGTGATTTGATAATAGTATCGAAGTATGACGACGTATACGCCATTTCTAAGCCAACAAGAGGGGCCAACCACATGATGTTTAGACTTCTAGCCTAATTTAACTCTGATCAACCACAAGTCTCTAGCACCAAACAAGAAGATACAAGAAAGGGAGTACCAAACCTCCCTACTGTTGAGTGTGTTGTCCTAAACTCGTAGTTTGTATTTTGTAAAAACAAATGTCTATTTAATAAAGTTTTATTCAATAAATTTGTTGTTGAATCATAGCTTTGCATTGTCAAAAATCCAATAAACTAAAAATCCAAGGTTATTTATGATGTAATCGGGACAGTATATATACTGGGTATATAGTTGATATACATGGTATATATTTGATATACCCCTGATATATGAATGGATAATGTCCCGTGAATAACCTAAAGGGTCTATAGTATATGGATAAGACTGGGTACCTTATCCTGGCAACACTATGGATACGGCCCGCTCTGTAAAGGTTACAGATGACTCGTTCCAGGTCGTTCGTGTGGAGACATGCGAGTGAGGGTATCCTATACAATGAGTTTGTATAAGATCGGACCGCGAAATAGGCAATCTTT